AAAAATTCCATTTTAAGATGTGCATTTATTCTGAAAACTAATAAACTTTTCGAAAATATATTTTTTTCCTGAAAAAAGAAGAAAAAGAAAAACAAATGAAGACAAAGAACATATTGATATATAAATATCATGAGGCTTTTTCACAGATTATATACACCATATGGTCTCCTCCAAAGATAAAGCAGATAAAAAAGTAAAACAAATAGTTTTCTGCCTTATCATGGCTTATGGACTCCAGCAGCAACTGTCATTTTCACATAATATATTGTGTAATCAATTTAAAAACTGAATTACAGTAATTTGATAGTAAATATGTTACTGCACATAATACAATCGTTTAATTACCAAGTTACTGAAAATTAGTTAAAAGGTATTTTAGGTCCATGCAAATCTTCCTTTACTCTTCTCTATTTTATTTTCCATATTCAGGCATGAAGAAAAGACCTCAGTACTTACATATCTCCACACTGAGGAAGTATTTTACTTTAACAGTTCTACTTATCTTATTTATTAAGAGTGCCAAACTAGTGCTCATATTCAGAGATTCTTGGGACACCTTAGATGGAGAGCTGGACCAACATCTGGTAACTGTCAGTCAATCACCTTGGGCTGTCTTGCACCACAGCCAACAGTGGTTGACTGTGGTGCAAGTGTACTAAGTGTCTCTGAATACGAATGACAGCCTGATGATCAGGAGGTGATATTTCATAACACGTTTTGTTACAGCTGCCTGCACTCATCCATTTCATCTACTGTCATATTAAATAAAATTCTTAACCCTTATACAGGCAGACAAATTTCTCAGCATAAACTTTTCATTTTACAGTGCCATGCAATAGTTTGAGAGCCAAAGAAACAATATTCAGGTATTATTCATGACAGTAGGAAACAGCTTTCAAACACTTCTTCATTCAGTTATATCATAAACTTTCTATGATAAAAAGGATTCTTAATTATGGAACAATGCTAAATACATTTCTCCAGTCTTGACTGATTGTGCAAACTTCTCTGCAAGGTGAAAGGGATGGTCTTATCTTTTTTAATCTTCAATTTTTTGGTGGGTAATAACTTGTGGTTTACAACCTTTTATTTGTATTTTGTGAAACTCCCACGGCTCCTTGAAATAAAATAATAATAATAATAATTGGGGGTGTGATCTAAGACTTGTTTGATTTAGAAAAATAGGACTTGGATATTTATATTCTAGAATGGAGGAAAAGGGGCTATTCTATGCCACTTTTTATTTTGTATTATATTCCTGTTACAACCCTCCAAAATTTTGCTTTTTGAAAGTATAAAAAATGTACACTTAATGAGAAATACCCAGTACTTCTAGGTGAACCTTATCTTACTTATTGGTTGGGAAAAACATCAGACAAGATATTTGGTTGAAAGTATATATAATATATATTTTTTCATACAGAAAGTATAGCCACATTTTTATTATTTATCAGTGATACTAAATCTATATACAGTTATTAGGTGCAGTGGACTAAAATGTTCATATATTATTTTTCTATGAAATAAAAATAACATACTGTAATGGTTAAAAAAACAAGACTGGCAATATAGTATTTTTATGACCGTAAATATTTGGTTATGTACCACAGAGTGTACCACTATTAGCATGGTGTAATTAAGCAAGAAATGCCAATATATTATGCTTTTACAGAAACTTACAAAAAGGACTGTTTGTTACTTATTTTCAACAACTCAATCTAGATATATTCATGATAAGTAATAAATTTCTTTTTGTAAACTGAACATATATTTTCTGTGGATTACATAATACAGAATCCAGTTGTGCAGGCTAGGAAAACTCCGAACAATAAGAACTTAATTTGCACAATAAAAAAATACTAAGAAATTGAAACAAAACTTTGATAATAGTACTGGAGGCACAAAAAAGTTTAGGCACCCTGCATATCCAGTAACAACTTAAATAGCACTAAGACATAATTATGCCTTATATTTTTTTTCAAATAAATATTCTATCATATAAAATGGTTTCCTTGTGGGAAAAAATAAGAACTACACACACATACAGCTGATTTGGAAAAAAATTAATTAAAAAGAATTAACTTATTACTATATTAAAATAGGTGATGATCCATAATTAAACCATCATATATATTGACTCATATATACTAGTAAAATTCATTCATAAATACATACAGGTGCATAAATAATAATCTAATGCTATGCAAATACAGACTTGTAGACACTCTATGCTACTAATGACTAGAAAGTGAAGCTATTGTATAATACAATAGCACAAAACATATCACATATTATGCACTTGTGAATAAACACTGTGCTGGACGGAAAAGTTATATATCTGTTACAGTTGTAGATTCTGTTGTATATATATTATTTTTCTCTTTTACAAACTGTGTGACATTAGTTTCCCATGAATACTGAGGTACATATTATATTAGAATATCTCTAAGACTTTTTTAATAAACCTCCTTGAAAAAAGTAAGAAGGAAAGAGAGAAAGAAAAAAAAGAAAAAGTGCAGCCATTTTTTGTACCTAAAGTTATACAAACAATTCTGTGAAAGAGAAAGAGAAAGGGGAAAAGAAAAAGAAAAAGAAAAAGAAAAAATCACAAACTAAAACCTTTATTCTGGCAACAAATCATCACCCAATTCTTCATCAGCAAAGTCATCCTCATCTTGTTTTCTTCTCATACTTGTCTTTGGGCGTTCTTGCAGCGGGCCTAAGGGATCCACATAGCTGCTGTCTGTTTTCAAAAATAAATATGTTACAACTGAGGAAAAGGTGAACAAACTGAAGCAGAAAAAAACACCAATAGCGATTATCCATTCCTTGTACACAAAGCAAGATGACAATAAGTCATAAAAATATGAATATAAGCTATGAAAAAAATGAGTATTCATGTATCAATCAAATTTCCACTCACCAACTTCTTTGTTAGATGGCACAAATGGCTCATTCTCATCAAGATCATTCAGTGAAAGGCGAGTCATTCTGCCACTCATGGCTGAGCCTGGGATACTGCGAGAACCACGGGAACTTGCTCTGTAAAACATCATTACATCAATGTAAATAACTTTTAGTTTGATGTTATATGATAAAATGAGATGCTGTGACATAATGGCAGAAACTAATGGCTGTCAATATGAGGTGAACAATGACTTTTTCTGTTGTTTGTAAAGTATTTCATGAAAGTCGGTGCAGGTTACCGCTACATCTCATCTTGCACAATTGTCCCACACTTTCTAGATACTGTTTGACCAACTCTATATTTAACATCTCCTCTGTTCATTCACTCTTTGTCACTGGTCAGGAACAGGTCAAACATTTTGCTTTTCCCACACATTTTCTTACCTAGCACCTGGACCTGGACTCTTGGGAGGTAAAGCCCCTGGTTCCTCGTGGCCAGAGGCAGCTGAGCCACTACGTGAAGCCCGAGAAGAGGATCTGGAGGTTGCAGTAACAATGGTACTCAAGAATGGCTATATGTCAAACTAAGTGCGGGGCAGGATCCTTCTACTCAGTGTGCTTCATAACTACTGTATAAGATGCAGCCTTGTTTTCTACTACATATCCCTGTTGTAGTGTTTTCATGGATTACTTGGAATGACACATAAGTGTACATATAGAAAACACTACTGAGCATGGGAGTCTACATGTACTATACAAAAATTAATGTTGTATAATGAAAAAAAATTCAATAATAATCCTGATTTCGCATGCACAAAAAGAAGTTATTAAGTAATGGATTTTGGCAGCTAAGTTTTAATAACTTCACTTACATTTTTTTCATTATTATTATTTTCTTTTTCTACAAAAGTTGCAAGATGTGTATTCCATCTCAGCTACAACATGAATATTTAACATTATACATTAGCAAACTCATACCAGAGTACTGGCTAGGCCAATCCTTGTTAACCAGTTGGCAGAGGGCATTGTGACTCCTGATCTACTGCAGATAAGCACAGTAGACAAAGGAAGATATTCCTGTTACTTGTTAGTTCATCATAATAGATATTTTTACTGAGGGTAAGACTCTTTTCATATTAAAGATGGTGAATGGTTAGATGAATGCCTTGGGGGAACAAATATTGATGAGTAAATATTCCATGTGGCTATGCTTTATCAAAAAAGAGAGAGAGAGAAAAAAAACCATTATATTATAAAGGAATATTACCAAAGATAGTAAATACCTAAAGATAAACCAAGATGGTCAAATTAAAAGTAATAATAATAATACTTATACATAAAATTAATAGAAACATCTAAATTACACAATTCATTAACTAAAGGCCAAAAATGTCAAACATATTCTAATTGCTAATGAGTTCTACAATACTGCTTTAAACATAGGATAACAAACTCATATAACTGTAACTCCTACATAACAAAGTGAAAATCAAGCTCCTACAACAAAAAAACGCTCTGACCTTCGAGATCCAGGACGAGAGCCACTGGCAGCTCGGCTCTCTCGCTGCTCTGCAGCTCTTTCGGCCTTCTTCAGCTCCTGGGCGTACTCAGCTGTTTCCTTTAATCCCAGGTCACTACTGAGTCGAATCAGCAATTTCAGACCTGAGATAAAAGAATCATTCTGCTAATTCTACTAAAGTTATTTATAAACGCCTCAAAAAAAAAAAAAAAAAATCTGCTTCCAGGGTACTACTCAAATACAAGAACTGAAAGTAAAGATCTATACAAACACTCTATATTTTCTGGGAATCTTCGATGGATCTGCTTGTACGTCTGCAATGCCTGTTGGTAGTTGCCTGACCGTCTGTGACATGCAGCCACCATCAATTGCCACTTCACTTCATCAGGCTGCATCAGTGCAGCTCGTTCAAAGTAACTAATTGCCTTTTCCGCAACCTGGTGCTCAATGAAGTAGGATCCCAGCCAATCAATCACTTCCAGATTGCTTGGGAAATATCTGTAAGACTGAAAAAAAAAAAAGGAAAAATCTTTATACTTGCAATGAATTATATTTTGTACATAATTTACAAAATTAATATCAAACGATTTTATGACAGCATTTCCATTCAGAGAAAGTAAGACCTACATCAAAGTAATATTGGTATCCTTGTTGCTTGTCACCTTCTGTGTCAAAGAGTTGGCCCAATCGCTGATGGATATGAGGATCAGTTGGAACGAGACCAAGCAACTGCAAATACCTGAAAAAAAATTATTGACATTTGCCTCAAAATCCTGATTATAGTGTAGGTAATACAAATTGTATGATAAAGAAATAATACAATATTGGTTCAATACACAAAAAACTGCATTGCATTCTAACAGTATTTCACTGGAGATTAAACTTTTTACCAAAACTTTATAAAGTAACTCAATGCAAGTGAAATCTTTAATATCCCAAATTTTAAAATCCAATCCATTCACAAACAGAGATTTCTTTTACAGACTACTGTCAATAAGTTTGTATAAAAATAACAAATGTTGATCAAATTATGAAGCTCTCCACACTATCATATAATATGAAAGAGTTGAAAAATATGATAAACAGTAAATTATAAATAAAGCAGGCCACAGCATCTCACCACTCAGAAGCCTGGTCGATGTCACTCAGCTCTTGATACAAACTGGCTATCTGGTAGACTACTGGTGGATAATTGCGAACAATGGCATGCATTTTCAGTAAGGAGTCAAGTGCCTCTTCATAACGTCCAAGTTTCTTGTTTGTTAGTCCTGTATAAAATAGAAAATATTGTATGGCTTATGGTGAAAAGAAGAATAGAGACAGAAGAATAAGAACAAAATAATGAAATAACTTGCTAATAACTGCTACATAAAAAATCATATTAAAATTAATTAAAAACAATGAACAATAAAACATTAAGAAAAAGTTCCTTCAGAAAATACCAACTTTAATGATCATATAGTTGATATGATAAGATCTTCCTTTCCCTTCACCTGGTGTTGCCTAATATTTTATCTTATTTCTGTACTATATCAGCTTGACTACAAAAGGCAGCTATATCTTTCCCATTCACTGACACTTTTAAGCAGAATTTTTCCAATAAGATTTTGTGTTAATAGTAGAGGTACCCTAAAGACTAAAATTATGCAAAATAATTTATTGGCCACCTGAAAGGGTAGAATATTAGCTAAATTTACACGGATTCCACTTTTTTAAGGATTACTATGCAAATGATTTGTTGACACAGAGCTGCTTTTCTAAGAACCTGTCTATCAACCTTATGCCACAAGGGATGCTATGAATGTAGATGCCATGCCTACTATGAGTTTAGTTTATTCATTGTATTTATGTATAGATAGCACTTCAAGTGTTTAATCACCAAGGGGTCAATTACTAATCATACATATCTCACCTGTTTACCATTTTTCTTGGTTTTAAAAATTTTCTTTATTGCTATTAGTATTGTTAATAACAATTTAATAATCAAAATTTCAGTAATAACAACATCAATAGTAATGATAATAATAACATCAAAATTCAAAAATTATTCCTCACTCTATGTATAATTTTCAGAGAGTGAGGAATGACTATGAAATAATAAGATTTAACCTCCATTAAAGGAAATGCAGAGGCACGAACTGAAATGCATCCATTTGAATTTGAGACTTCACTCTGACCATTCATTTGCTCTTTAGACCCTTAAAATAATGCAAAAGACAATGCACTCTATGATCACTTAGTGCATTACTTTTGTCACCCTTTTGAACTCAAAACAAACAAACAATGACAAAAATATGACTTGCATTCACTGACGAGTACTGTATTATTCATACCATAGAGCATGCTTTCAGATTATAAAAGCAGTTCTGATTCTCTCTGTACTGTTCTGAATTAACATGAATATTTATATTTGTGTAATAAAGAGACGAGTTATCCATTTTGGTCTTTTACCTAGGCTTTGTGGGCCAAAAGCTGCAGGCCATTTTCACTGATGTCCCTCTGTACAAAGATCCATTCAAATACATTTATACAGAAGTAACACAAAAATAAATAACTGTGATGGGAGTAAATATTTGTCTAAATATTTGAAAAGAAGAAGAAGAAAAAAGTACCACTCACTTCAAAGTTAGCGCTACTAAATCTAGCATAATCATCAGCAAAGGATCCCTTCATAGAATTGGAGTTTCATGATTAAAACAACAGTAAAAACGGTCATGAAAATCCATGTAAAATTATACTTTTGCTCCCATTATTCACCATTTACAGCAATAATATACATATAAAAGGTCAGAGAAAAGAATCTCCACAAAACTTATGCTTTTTACCCTGCAGTTCTTACCAAGATTGTATAGAGCTTCCACACATGATGCATCTATGTCCAAAGCAGCTATGTAGTGCTCACGAGCCTTCTCATAATCTTTCCTCTTGAAGCAGCAGTTCCCTAAATTCACAAGGGCAGAATCATTGTAGCCATTGGAATCCCTTGCCATGAGGGCATATTTTTCAGCCAAGTCAATTTCATTTTGCTGCGGAAAAAGTATCAGTTGAAAACATTTTGGTATTGGCCACACTATTGGTCTACATTAGATTCATCATTCATTTCTGAAAACTAACAAAATATTCATTGTGCTAACATGAACACATTCAACTAACTAGTAATGCCAATATTTCTATTTCAACCTATAAAGGTATCACCACTATCTGATGTCCACCCCTAAGACATATTCAATATAAACTGCATTATTAAACTATGCAAATCATGTAAAACCTTACCAAGAAATACAAGAAGGAAAGATTTGTAGCAGCTGTGCTGGCAACTTTTGTTTCTTTCTTCTCAAACATTTTGAGGGTCTCTACAGCATCTTTAAAGTTCTTTTGCCTCAAAAACATGACAGCTTTGTTGATTTCCAGATCATTTGCAAGGTCTGCATACTGAGAATTCTTGATTGCATCTACACACCTGGAAGAAATAGGACATATACTCATGCTCAAACTCATCCACTCACACTCCCACGTCCAGTCATGCTCATTTGTAAACACACAGACACATATTTACACTTCTCAATATGGCAGTTAAACTTTAAAAACTGTTACAGGGAAACTCCTCAAAAATCACAGTATGTTTTTACAGACCGATATTATCTTCAATATACACAGGAAAACTTACCAGTTGTAACCCTCACTGAAAGTATTCTCAATAACTGGTGAAATAAGCTTTGCAGCTGTAAGTATTGAACGTTCAGCCTCTTGCTTCATCTGCCTTTCCATCTTCCGAAGAGGATCATTGCGAATGACCTCAAGAATCAGGTTGGATTGAGTATCTTCCTAGTGGATAAAATGTAAGTGAAAATATTAAAATGTGTGAAATAATTTTAATGAAGAATAATCATATCACTAGTGAATACTGCATATATTTTGGTGTACTATAGTATCGCAGGTGGACATATTTTCCAAAAGCTCTCTGAAACACACACACACACACACACATCAACATGTATTACATGAAAAATTGTTGTAACTTACTGATGAAGCTGTGTACTTTTCATCATCATCAATATCTAATTGGCATTCTAGCAAGCGAAGGAAGCCTTTCTTCATTTTTTCCTTGTCTCCAAGAGCATAATATGCAGTAACTAAATCCAGACCAGTCTTGAAATTTGCCTCCTCCTGCATAATGTATTCAAAGCTGGTACATGCCTCAGAGTACTGTGCCATCTTGACAAACACCAGGCCAATATTGTGCATTATTTTTATTCTGTAAAGAAAGTGTCCTGTGAATAACCAATCTGAATTTAAGAAATTCATACATGTGATTTCTCAAATTGACTGGTTTGTTTCCCAAGCTCTGTACCTTGATCTTAAAATTTCTTATAATTCAGACCAATTCTTTATATGAAACACAGAAAGAATGGCTTTTCAACTGTGTATGTCTATAGTAGTCTACAGAATGTTTCACAAAAATCTTGAATAGCAAATATTTCCTACCTCATACTTTTATGTGTATTAGGAACCTGATCTAAAGCCATGCGATAGAATTTTATGGCCTTGTTATACTGTCCCATCTTGTAGTGGATGTTGCCCATGTTGACTCGAAGCCGGCCAGAATTGTTAAACATACGGTCTTTTGTAATAACCTGATATGTATTTAGGGCTTCTGTGTACATGTCATTGGCAGCATATTGGTTAGCCAGATTGAAAAGGACCTGTTAGAGAACAAAAGATGTACAGTGAACATTACACAGGAAGATGTTATTCTAAAATGAGGACTATTTCCACTCCCTGGTAATCATACTCAGAACATAAGGACAGCATCATTAAATATCAAATATTTCAAGTATTTCTTATCTTATAAAAAGGAAAAAAGAAGAACGAGAAGAAAAAAATACCTACAGAGAAGGTGAGATCCAAGTTGTGTCCATCAGACAATCCTGCCTGTTCCCGCTGCCTTATGAGAGATCTTTCTTTACTAGAAGCCTCTTTGGCTCTGTCAAGGGCCAGGCGAATTTCTCCCCTAGAAGCAGCCATGCAGGACTCTTCAATAAGCCCCATTACTCGACGTTCAAGTGACTTTATTTTTTCTTCTGGGCTATAAAAAAATTACTGTGTTAAGATACAGTTCTCTTGTTAAATAATTACTGTGGAATTAAAGGTATTGATCTTTCACAGCCATTGGCAGGATTCAGTCCTTAAAACTTTTATAAAAGAAAAATAGTAGGTTATACCTCTCATCAGTTTTGGAAATAAGAGCAGGAGCAGGTCCTTTGCTTGCTTGATTGAGGGGATCAAACACATTTGACTGGGATGTATAACCTGTTCCCCTCATGCTGGTCATTGGTCTTTTAAGTCCATCACTTGATCCTGGACCAACTTGGCCCACTGCGCTATTTAGCACCATCTAAGGATTGAAAAATAAGATCATTAATGTATTACAGGCTTTTTCTTTTTTTATCGTCAACTACCCCATGGTTACTACTTCATTAAACATTTGCTTAAACTAAACAAGGTACTTACCGCAGTACCTTGACCAGTCCCTATCCGAAGCCCAGCAGTAGAAGTGAGACGAGCAGCTGTTGT